AGCATGTTTGGATACAGGGTGAATCTGGAGAATGCCTGATCCACCATGTTCTGTATTAGATTTTGTTGTTCACGCAACATGTTCGTTTGTTGCTCACGCAACATGTTCTGCATAACCAAAGTTTGCTGGTTGTTCATTTGTTGAATATAAGACAACCAATCGGTAGGTGGTGGGGGAATCTCCCCTGGATTTGGCATGACTGGTGGTGAAACATTCTCTCCCACCGGTGCTGATGATGATTGAGGTTGTGTGCCTGCCATATTGATTTTTCTGATGATTCGGCCAGACCTCAGTTGTATGACATTTTGTGTTGATGTAGGATCAGCAATCTTGCCTTTCTCCCACTGTGGTCGCCAATTTGTTGATGTAATTTTTCAACAAAAATAAAGTAAAATTCAAAGATATAGAAAATATCCTTAAACTTGATTAATTAGTGCCTGAGATTAGGAATCTCTAAACACTGTATGGTACAGAAAATAAACTGGAAAATAAAAGACTGAAATTTAAAGTGGTGATCCCCAAATCTGACTTTGCTTTGTTGAAGTTGATTGAAGATGCCTTTTCAGAAAATCTGAATCCTTAAATAGCCTTTGAAGAAAACGGTTTGAACCGCCGTTTGGTCGGTTACAGCAACCGCTGTCAACCGACCATCAAATTCTCCTCAATTGACACGTGTTACAACTTCCTTCAACCTCCCCAAACCTCTCACGCCTTAAACCGTCCCAGAAATGCCATTCGCCCGACCTGCTTCTTCGCCCGACATCATTTGGGCCGACCTCCGCATCAGCCGCCCTCCGTCTTTGACCGACTTTAATTGGTCCGACCATGGACCAACCAAATGTGGTCCCGACCACGGACCAACCGACCGGCTCTATTTGCCTTATCTCTTTAGAAGGACAGACTGTCCTCTGGACAGACCTCCGCATCTGTCCGTACCTCTTCCTTGCCCGACCTTTCTCTTGACAAACCTTCGCGTCTGCCCGACTTCGTCTTTCACCCGATCTACGGTTTACCCGACTTGGGTACACCTTTTTTCAGACTCCGCCCGACCTTTCTTCCTTCCCGATCCTTGCATCTGTCCGATTGCACCCGACTTCTGGGTCATTTAACTTATATCCAGACCCGTCCAGAATCCCACTGCCATTATTTATTATTATTATTTTTTGTGCTTAACAACTACGCTCACAAATTAATTGTTTTTTAGACATATTATGTAGTAATCCATACCGTAGCACACACAACAACATTTAGTTCACCAAGGCTGAGAGGGGAAGTGTTCTCACCGAGTACGCGAATACGCCCCTCCCCATGGAAATAACTGAAATTAACTACACTTGAAGGTACCTGATAATACACAAATAATACCTAAGAAACCATTACGTATACCTCGCATGTAGGTGTTTGTACCCAAATCACACATTCTTATGTACCTACATAATATATCTACATACCCTAAGGTGGATTTTAACTACTTATAATAATAGTCTCATATGCTTTAGTAAAGAGTATATATGCTCTGATAACATGTAGTTGGAGAACGATCGTTTTCTTGTATGATATATGTACTATTATACTCCAACCTCAACTAGTAGATGTCTAACAAAGTCATAAGTGACTAAGTTGAATTATATTGGTTGTTAGAGTACACGATTGCTACCACAAATTGAAAATCTTTAAATCTATTACATATTAATTCACACCGTAGCGCATACAACAACTTTTGGTCAAGGGCATCTAAGCATAGGGTCTGACTCGACTAAGCAGGTGAGTACTCTATAGCAGCTATGTCTTACCCCTAACTTGGTTTCGTATACGAAATTCTATTAGTTGTGTACCTACTGCAGTCTTTTATGTAACTGAACATCATAATCTCGTGACAGAGTTTTCTAACTGTGTAACATCATAGCTCATGTTAATATTTGTTATGATTTATCATATGACCAAAAGTGACCTTGATAGATTAGTACCTACGCTACCACGCTCATATGCTTCTGAATGACGGTTTCGATTACAATTTAAAAAGCTGATGATTCAGTTTGAACCGCCGATTTATGCATATTTATTTTTAATATTTTTCTTTTTCGTTTTTAAGTTTTTCTAAATTTAAAATTTATTCAAAAATAATTATTTTTTATTTTAATTCCATTCAGATATATTTATTATTTATTTATTAGGTAAAATCATATAAATAATAATTGCTAAGATTGTTACAATATAAAAGTAATTAAAATAATAAATTTACTAAGGGTGTGTTTGTTTGAAGGATTTTGGAGGATTTTTACTATTCATCCAATTTTTTCCCCCCAAAAACATCACATCAAACACCTATTTCTCATTTTTTATATTATACTAAAAATCAATTTTACATTCAAAACATCACATCAAACCCTATTTATATCACATCATACAACTATTCAAATTCAAAATTTTTACTATTCAAATCCCAATCCAAAATCCAAACTCCCAAACAAACACACCCTAAGTAATTAAATTAAATTAAATTTTAAGAAATTGATATGTATTAAATAATAAAATAGTTTAAATTAAATATAATTGTATAATAATAAATACAAAATCTAAAATATAAATATACAAAATAATATATATTATTATATAATTAATAATTATTTATTTTTATTAATATTAATATTTCTTTATTTTTATAACAATTTAATTATATATAGTAATTTTAATTACAAGTATATTATAATATACAATTTTAGTTCTGAACATCCACTCTCCACTCCACGTTCTACAGCCACTACCGCAGGCGGCAGTTGCAAGTAGGGGTGAGCAAAATATCCGAAATCCGAAAATCGATCATAACCAAACTAAAATTTAAAATTTGGTTCGGATTGAATTTTTGACAAATTTCGAATTTCGGATCGGATCGGTATACTTAAAATCCGAACCAATCCGAAATATAATATTATAATATATATTTTTATTATATATATTTAATATATTATTAGGAAATATTATATTTTAATATAAAAAACTCAAAATTATTAATTATATTTTAATATATTTACTTTTATATATTATATATATTTAATATTATAAAATAATTATAAAATATAAAAGAATTTTACAAATTAAAAAAATATTTAAAATTTCGGATTTTTCAGTTTGGTTTGGATTTTTTAGTTCGAATTTTGAATTTTCGGATTTCGGTTATTTCGGTTCGGTTCAAATTAATTTTTTCAAAAATTTAGGATTTTCGAATCAGTTCGAATTTGGCAAAATTCGAATGCTCACCCCTGGTTGCAAGGGTTCATTTTTCGTTTTATTTTTATTTTATTTTTTTTCCCTTATTTTCTTCTTTTCCAATCTTTTTTTTTCTTATTTTTCCCTGCTTCTTTTTCACCGTGGTTGTCCCCCCATAACATTCCATAATCTAGTCGTCAATCCACAGTCGCAGCCGGTGTGCAAGTTCAAAATTAAAAAAATAAAAACAATGGTCGAACCGCCGGTTGAAATCGTAAACCGGCGATCTGAACCAGCTGTTCGTATTTTAACAAATATATAAATCGTAACAAGCGATTCGAAAACTGGTAAATCGGATATTCAGAATGATATGGACAAATTTAAAATATAAAAGTATATAAAATAAATTTATAAGCATTTAAAGATATTCTAGAGGCACATTCAATTTTTACTGAAGAAAATATAAAAGAAAGACTAATATTAAACTAAATAAGTAAAAGAGGGAGTGCAGATCAATTATTTTAAAATAGGGATTGAATTATAACTAAACATTACCGGTAGGGAGTGCAGACCAATTATTTTAAAATAGGGACTGAATTATAACTAAACATTACCTGTAGGAAGTGCGGACCAATTATTCGTAAATTAATTCAAATAAGATGTGCGCCTATTTCTCTTGTAGGAATTCTGGCAGCCTCGTGAAAGCTACTGTCCCGCGTGCCCCCCGTCGATAAAAGCCAACCTGGAACAAAGAGAATCTGGGAAGAAAGCATTAAGACTTGGTGCTCCTTTGCATGCCCACCGAATATAAAATGCGATAGCAGCAAGTCTTTATTTTATCCATGGAGACCCGCAGATCCAAAGAGAAGTTCTCCAGTGCGCCTTTGTTAGGAGCAATCCATAAATAATATATTGTGGCCGCAAAGGCCAGCCTCCGAATAGTTTGAAGCAGGGGATCACAATCCGCGCTGTGCCTGATCCAAGTAGAAGCAGATTCGAGAGTTCGTAGATCAGTAGGGATTCTGGTCCAGCTGCAGACTTCATTCCAAACCTGTAAAGAAAAGAGACCCTAAAAAACCAAGTGCTGTATTGTTTCTGTGCAGTCCTTGCAGAAGACACAACAAGGATCAAGGTCGAGGAAAGATAACCGATCTTTGGTCTTCAATCTGCCAAGCGCCGCAAGCCAAAGAATAAAGGAATGCTTCGGGAGAACGGGGAAGTCCCAAACAGGCTGAAATAATTCCCAGTCACTGCCCCGAGATCTGATGCAATTGTAAGCTGCTGTAACATCTCTTTTGGCTCAACCGAACCAATAAATGATGGTTGTACGAGCTTCATTCATGCTCCCACAAATGGCGACAATTCTGTCCCGAATTTTCAAAATCAATTTGAGAAAATAAGAGTGCCTGGGGCCGGCTTCAAGCTGCCAAACATCGTGGGAGTGGAGATATCTATGGTGCATCCATTTCGCCCAAAGAGAAACCTTATCCGAGTGGAGAATCCAAATAAACTTAGCAAGAAGTGCCAAGTTCCACTCCGAGAGTGAACGAAGACCCAACCCTCCTTCAGTTTTCGGTTGGCAAATTATCGACCACGCAACAGAAGGAGATCGATTCTGCCATAAGAAAATCCTGCATAACTTCACAATATGGCTAAGAACTGTTGTTGGCATAGGGAAGATGGACAACCAAAAACAACATGTTCCTTGAATAACAGTTCGAATTAGCTCAAGCGTCCCCGCGTATGAAAGGTTGCAGCCACTCTACCTCCCAATATGATTCGATAAGGAGGATATAAGACTATTAAAAACCTCGACTTTGGGTTTCCCAGGGCTTGCCTGAACGCCCAAGTACTTGAAAGGAATAACGCCACGAGAAAATCCAGACTGGGCAGTCATGCTGTCCACTTCTTCATTTGTACATCTGGCAATAAAGATATTAGAGTTGGATGTATTAATACCCAGTCCAGAGACACTTCGAAAGTGCTCAATACAATTCAAAAGAAGACCAATCAAATGAGAATCAGCTCTCGAGAGGAGGATGATATCATAGGAAAAAGCAAAGTGAGTGATCTTGAGAGCCGAGCATCCCGGATGAAAGTTCATCTCTTTATCTGCACTTTCTCTTTTAAGGAGCCGAGAGAAGTACTCCATGCAAATAATAAAAAGGTAAGGGGATAGAGGATCCCCTTGTCGCAAGCCTTTTTTACCTTGGAAGAGCCCATAGAAATTCCCGTTGATCCCTAAAGAAAAGGAAGCTGTGGAAACACACTCCATAATCAAATCCACCAACTTCGTCGGGAAATTAAGAAGAAGAAACAACCCTCTAAGAAAATCCCAGGAAACTGAATCAAAAGCTTTGGAGAGCTCCAGTTTAATCATACATCAAGGGGAGCTCCTTTTTCGATGATAATGCTTGAGGAGCTCTTGGAGAAGGAGGATGTTCTCATTCATATTTTTGTCCTTGAACAAAAGCCCCTTGAGCGAGATCAATAATTTCCGGCAGGGCGAGTTTGATGCGGGATCTTGGAGATGATTTTATAAACCACCTTGCAACATGCAATCGGCCTGTAGTCCCCAACAAATGAGCAGCATGCTGATTTGGGAATGAGGACTAGGTTCGTGTGGTTATTCTCTTTTAGGAGCTTTCCGTGTATAAAGAAGTCAATGACAGCTTCACAAACATCAGCTCCCACAATATCCCACGCAGGCAGGAAGAAACCAGCAGAGTATCCGTGCTGCCTGGTGCTTTATTAGTATCCATAGCTTTAATATCCGCAAGAATTTCATTTGGTGTGACGGGACCAAGGAGATCAGGGTGAATAGAATCTGGAATGCACAACCCCCCAAGAATAAGTGCCAAGGAGATCGGTATAGAAGCCCGAGAATTCCCCGATAACTTGCTCGATAGAGGTAGTGATCGAGCCATCAGCTTTAGTAAGTGAGACGATGCAATTTCTCTTCGCATTCCTTTTAACAAGTGAGTGAAAAGTTTTTGAGCACTTATCATTATCAACCAGGAATTTACACTTGGTTTTTTGTTGAACAAAGGCGATAGCTGTTGTTTGGAGACGAGCTGCATCTTCCCTAAGCGAGGAGAGAAGTTCTGAGTCCGCCTGAGATGGATTAGCAGCCTGTGCAGATTTCAGCTTATCAATGGCACATTTACTCCTCTCTAAAATGTGGGAGAAATGCCTTTTATTAAGATCCAACAACCCTTTTTTTAGATGCTTAAGCTTGGAAGCAAGACTGAATTGAGCGAACCCATAAACAGGGAGACTCCAAGCAGAGGTAACAGTATCCATGAACCCTTTCTTGATGCTAGTAGCAATAGATATGGTGAAATTGTCGTATTTGAACAATGTCAATGTAACTTGAAGAAGAATTATTCAAACATTACCGTCATCACCCTACAAAACTATTTTCAATATAAAAAAATGGGATTAAGGTAATAACATTTCATCTTATTTCAAATAAAATTAAGGCAAAATAATAAAAAATAATAATGTGGTTTTCCAAATTTGCTGAAAATTCGTTAAAAACTTTCATAAAATCTACTCTTTGTTTATGATATATTGTACACTCATTGTTTCCTCTAAATTTCACTAATAGATATTAAATTTATCATAATTGATAGTCATGTCCTTATTTAAATATTTTTTTAATTTATTTATCTCATTGTGTCACCTCTAATTCTTCTTCTTTCTTCTCTCTTTTTTGGGGGTGTTTGGCAAATAGCTTTTAAGAACTTTTAACTTATTGAATAGCTTTGTCCTTAAAAATTTATTATAAATTTTACACAAATAAATATATTTTGATTATTTATTAATTATATTAGAATATTTTATTATATTATAGTTTTACTTTTATAAATTTAAAATAATTAATTTTTATATAAAAATTATTTTAATTGTAAAATATATAAATTTATTAAAATCAACATAAAATAAAAAATATAAATATTAATAATTTATCTTTTTTATTAAAATTACATTATATAAATTTTATACTAAAAATAAATTAAATTTATTGAAAATTATAAATATAATGAACTAATCGATAACTAACATAATAAATATATACACGAAAAATTTATTATTTTATAATTTATATCATTTTTAATAAAAAAACTATTTATATATTTTAATAAAAATATATTATTTTTTAAATCTAACTGTAATAATAAATGCTTTTATAACACTTTTACAATTTTCAATAAACTAATAACAAAAAATTTTAAACATTCTAAACTCAAAAAAACATAATTGAATATATTAGAAATAAGAATAAAATAGAAATGTCCTCAATTTTCATTTTACGTATAAACAGCTAATATCAAACAGTTGTTTTACCAAACATTTTAATACAAACAACTAATCGAATCAGCTAGTCAAACCAGCTAATTGAATCGGCTAACAGCTATCAGCTAATTGAATCAGCTACCAGCTAATCTTTTATTCTTCTTTCTCCACTCTTCTCTCCGCTCCACGCCTCCACTCCGATCTTCTTCTTCTTCCTCATTCTTTTCTTTCGTTCAGTTGGTTCTTTTTGTTTCTTCTTCACACCGCATTCTCAGCTCTCCTCCGTCGCTGTCTATTGGCATTTTTGTATTAAGTTCGAGCCCACATCCTTCTCTCACTCCCATCTCTCTGCCGTAGTTGTCAGTTTGGGTGAGTTAGAATTTCTGGGTTAGGAATTTTGAGTTGAATAAAGTTTTATTTCTGAGTTAGAATTTCTACGTGGCAAGTTAGAATTTTTGCATTTTTTTTTAAATTTTTTTAGCAGGTAAAAAAAAAACTTCATTTTTGGTGAGAATCTGGATGATACATTCATTATCTTCTCTTTTAATTAAGCCGTGAAAAATATGGAAACAAATAGAAAAAATAAAATAAAAACGAAAAAGACGTAAGAGTAATACCTCGTCACAATCAGACCCAACACTTGTTTCCAATTCCAATTCTTGAAATTCCTCAATCTTTCATGCGTGTTCCAATTGTCTTTCTCATTATTCTTTTTTTTCTTCTCCTCTGCTATAGGATAATTGGTCTCAAAATAGGGAACTTTGGAGCTCAAGAAAGTGCCACAGAGGCAATTGATTTGCAGTCGGAGTCGGAAAGGATCATGAGTGCAGAGGTGGAGCGACCGAAGTGGTTGCCAGCTGTGGAGGGCCAATTCGCTTGAGACCATCGTCTATGAGAATCTCCCTCGTAGAGGCAATTGATTTGCAGTCGGATTCGGCGATGGGAGGCCACCAGATTCCGTCAGACTGCGGCGCCACTGCCGATGGGATTTGGGGCCAAAAGTTGCTTCACTTTGTAGTTTGTAATAAGAAATTGGAAAGCAGTTAGGATTTCTGAGTTGAGTATAGTTTGATTTCATATGCATGCCGCCCACTTTGATTCCCGTTATCGGAATAGTGTAGGCTAGCGGATCGAGGTTTGGAATCCGCTGATTTTGGATTCCGATTGAGATAGAACAAGCAAGGGTTGAACAACGTAGCCAGTGGTGGTTTCTTCGGTGATTTCCGATGACATTGAATCCACGACAGCTGTTTTATAAAAACTTGCAGAAGAATGGGAATACGCTACTAAGCTAAACTAACTAATAAAGCATTAAGAAAATAATACACTACTAAACAGAACTAATTAAACAAGAAAACATAACGAATTAAATAAACATAACGAATAAAGCAAGAAAAATGATAATCGAAAGAGAATCAAACCTAAGTAAGTACTAACGTAAGCACGACCCGATACCTTTCTAGCATCAAACCATCCTCTACGAAGGCATCACCTCGGTCGACACCTTGGAGAGCTCTTTCACCTTTCCCAAATGCCATGAACTGAGGCTTTATACTCAAACCCGAATTTTGAAACTAAACCTCATGGAGCATGCCATGAGATAGCATTTCATGAAATATTAGACTAAAATAGAAAGTCTTGCTATCAAGCATAATTTTCTATAAAAGAAAATGATCATAAATATGATCAAATATTCATTAAAATAGAATTTTGTTTGGTATGTAATACAGAGCACCTAAGGGAACTTATATAGGAGTGGGGGAAGAAGATAGTTGATATGTTTTCCCATGTGGGATAAAAGAATCTCTCAAAGTGCGACAACTAATTTAATGGTCCCCTTCATGCATGTAAAAGACATGTGACATTTCCTATTATATATATATGTCCCCCAAGAGATGCCCCCTCATTTGTGCATGTGCAATCCAACTTTAATCTAATTACATATTAAACCCTATATTTTTATTATACTCCTAGGTTTGTATAACTTTTATGTTAGTTGTCCGATTAAGGCGTTGTAAGCTCCAAAGTAACCTTCGTAGAGGATGGTTCGATGATAGAAGGTTATTGAGTAGTGCTTACGTTAATACTTACTTAGGTTTGCTTTTTTTTTTTTCAATTATCCTTTTTCTTGTTTTATTCATTCCGTTTAGTTATTTCGTTCCTTTTTTCTTGCGTAATTAGTTCCGTGTTGTATCTTGTTCTTTCTTGTTGCTTTATTAGTTAGTTTCGCTTAGTAGTTTATTCTATGTCTTTTGTAATTGATCAATTCGGTCCATAACATATATTAATTAATTTTAGTATCAGAGCGGTTTGATCAATTTACATTATCTTTATTTCAAAAATTCCAAAAAAAAAAAAAAAAAAAAAAATTCCTTTGATATGTTTTCTTTTTATTCATTCCTCTAGTTGCTTAGTTGAGCTTTTTATTGCATATCCTTGACGTAAATTTTATCACGGATTTTGTCTTTTCTTGGCCTCCTAGTCTAGACGATTTGATCCTCTATGTTTCCTAGTATACAACATGCAACATACATCCATATGCATTATATGAACTCAAGTTTGTGACCTTATGGACGAGTGATTTTAATTGTATACTTTATGCTCTTGCTTGAGTTTTGCAAATTTGTTCTTGTTTGAGTTTTTTCAAGTTTGCTTTTGTTTGAGTTTTGCAAGTTTGCGGGTTGTTGAGTTTTTTGTTGTTAAAAAGTAAAGTTGAATTATTGTTGAGCTGGATGTTATTTGGGAAGTGTAATGAGTTATTATTGATGTATTGTTTTGCCTAGGCCTTTCAATATTTCCGTGAAAAAGTAAAAAAATAAATAGAAAAAAAAATTGTATAAATAATAAATTGTTGCGAAAAAAAAACGATAAAAAAAATCGAGCGGGAAGACTAGTGCAATTTTTGTCGGTAATCTTGTTTGAGTTGTAATTTTCTCATACGAGCTCTGTTTTTTGCGTATAATATGTCATTGGAAAGCTTGTAAAGTGAAGAAAAATTTTCAAAAATTAGTTTTTGTGAATTCGTAATTAAGACCTGGTTATTCAGTTTTGGGGTTTCGAGTTTAGCAAGATTGTGTTTGTCATATTTGTTTGACATGCTTTCAAAAGGACAGTCTTTGTGGTGATTTTGTGGTTGTTGAGATCTGAATCAGTGTGTTTGTTGTTGACTTGCATTGGTCCGGCATTTGTATGTTGTGTGCCTTTTTATCATTAGTCTATAAATGTGCGAGCTTGGTTCTTTGCATTGCATGATTGACACTATCTTGTACTTTCTTTGATTGAGTCATGTTTCAAGTTTCTTGTGCACTTTAAACTTGTACATTACTCAAGTTCCACCTTTACAACTCCATCAAGGCACATTTAAAGAGCTTGGGAACTCTACCATTTGTCGAGAGGTATACACAAGTGTGCGTAAGTGGGGGTTGTGAGGACTGACTTTAAATATATATATATATATAGTAGTTTTCTTTGGTGCAGGTACGTCTTCATTGGATGAAATCTTGGCTAAGATAAATAAGCAAAGCAAAGATATGCGAGATATTAAAGACGAGTTAGGTGGAAAGATAGATATCATGACATCTCGAGTGGATCAACAAGGACGAGAGATACACGACCTACGGAGTCAAGTAGATCATGTTCTAGATGACATGGATGATGTTGTGGATGTTCGGATGAAGGCTTATGCGGATGCCTTGTTAAGGAAAGTTGATCAAAATATTGAGAAGAGACTTGATGAGGTCTTTGATAAGGTTGCTATTCTTTAAGAAAGGGGAAGTTATAGTGATGCGAGATGTGAAGAAATCCACCTTGGCAAGCAGCCTATGGCCTCAACTATTGTTCTACCAAATATAAGATCTATCCAAGTTGATGATTTTGCTGAAAGGCGTCATACAAATCCGAGGCCTACATCTACCAAAAGACGACAAGGAAGAAGGGATGCTACCAAGGAGTTGTTTGATGAATTTTGATTGGAAGAGGAAATCTATGACTGAAGGGGCCGGGGTCGAGCCAATGAGGTTGATGATAACATACAGTCCATCAAGTTCTCCATACTACATTTCGTAGGATTGGCTGATGGTAATGAGTTTCTTGATTGGAAAAGCAAAGTGGAGATGATGATTGCATATCATAATTACTCGGAGCGCAAGAAAATTCAGCTTGCTGTTATGGAGTTTAAGGAGTATGCTCTTGTTTGGGGGGAGAAAGTACAAGCTAATATTGCAAGGTCCGGAATGCTTCCGATTGAGACACGGGAAGCCCTTACTTAAGCTATGCATGCACGTTTTGTGTCCCCGCATTATCGGATGGATCTCCTTTAGAAAATTCAGTTTTTATTCCAAGGTAGCAGTCTGGTTGAGCAATACTACAAGGAAATGGAAATGCTTATGATGCGGGCTCAACTTAGGGATGATGATGAAGTAACCATGTATCGATTTCTCAAAGGGCTGAGGCGTGATATTATGGTTCAAGGGGATATGTATCCTTACAATTCTACTTTGGCCTTGTCCAATTTGCTACCAAGATTGAATCCCATGGAAAGGTAAGAGCGGGTGTGAGCATTGGAAAGGCGCTACCAAATTTCAACAATTTTGGAGGTAAATATAGGACCATCAAAATCATAGCCCAAAGGAGATGATAAACATACAACCAAGAATAAGTTGTTTAAGGTGGTTAAGCATGATGAACAAAGAAAAATCAGCAAGGATGGTTCAATAAAAAAAAGCAAAGGATGTCACATGCTTTAAGTGCCAAAAGAAAGGTCATTACGCCAATGCATGCCGTAATGTTCAAACTATTGTGCTTTGTGACAATGGGACTATGTACTTTTGTTGGACGATAAGGGTGAAGATTGGGAACATGAGGTTGAAGAAAGTAAGGATGAAGCAATCCAAGAGACCGAAGAGCAAGTTGAAGAAGATTCATCGGGGAGTCTCTAGTGGTTTTGCGAATGCTTGGTTTTGAGGGGAATTGAAGAGATATAAATAAAAAAAACGTTTTAGTTGATTTAATCAAATAAAAGGATTTTGAATAGTAGAAATTTAATTAATTTAATTTATACTCTCTCTGTCCCACCTGAAAGGATACCATTTCCTTTTTAGTTTGTCCCACAATAAATGATCACTTTCTATTTTTTAGTAAAGTTTATCAAATCAAAATATAATTAACAATAACCATTAAAATTAATTACCTTATTCTATTATTAATATAAAATATTTTATTTTTAATATATAAATAAACAAACCCACACTAACACACCCAAACCCACAATATGATTGAAACAAATAATAAATCATAAAAATTCTACCAGCTTTGCAATTCTTCTTCTCCCTAACAAAAGCCCTAGTCGACTTCGCAATTCTTCTTCCTCCCTAATGAAAACCGTAGTCAACTTCACCTATGGATTCTAACCCCCCAATCCGATTTTTTATGGGTCTTGGTTAGTCGCCACCACCTCACTGCCAAGGATGTCGAAGGGAGGAGTAATCGACTTCGATTACAAGACCACCGGATTGTCTTTTCCATCGGTGGTTTCGACGGTTAAATATAGTGAGTTTGTTCCTAAAACTTATTTCTCCGATGAATCGGAGGCGACGCTGCTTGGTGATGACCAGGTGAGCCTCTCCGGCTATGTGACTGATACCCCCACTAATTTACAAGGTTATCAAAGTGTGGGTGGATTCCGATCTTCATTTTGCCCAAAATCGTCATTGGTGTTCAAACGGCCTTTAACAATCGTGGAAGAGTTTCAATTGCTCTACTTCCCCTCAATTTTCACTATGTGAGGCTAATAATAATCTTTACTGATTTATGCTAATTTTTTCTATTTGGAGATATTATGCCTAAATTTGTTGTTAATTTATGCAATTTGATGCTCTTTTAGTTGATTTTGGGATATATATATATGAACTCTATTTCTCACATGAGAATTTTATTCATAATATATTGCTTGTATGAGATTTTCTGCTCTAATGAAAATTATGTCTAATTTTTGTTGATCATGAGTTCCTTGTTATACCACTCTTTCATTGCATTAGATGAATATGATGATATGCTACTATGCAATATATACAATGTTAAAAATGATTATATTCTAATTAAGATGTTTTACACAGTTTGGTGGTTGCCTTTAGGTCAGAATATAATGTCATTGGTTTCTTTGTGTGACTATAATAAGCTTTAATAAAAACTAAAGATTTATATCAAATATTGCATTACAAAAACAAAAACTGAGTCACATGCATATCCATGTATCATATGCACGGTATGGAATTTATAAAATATTGATACTTCTAAGTTCACAAAAAAATCATTGTTTGCTTACTAAGAAAGAGTTATCATTGAGAAATGAGAGATTATTGCATTTTAAACCTCAAATCCCAATCTAGACAGCAATAGCATAGCGTAGTATTCTTTTTCTTTGTCCATGAGGTATGTGAGACAATTAATCATCAAATTCTTAGTCGTATTCAGGTGTGTAGGTAAAGTATCTTGCCTAATAAATGCATCATTCTTCATGTGTGAATTTTTTATTTGTTTTGTCCTCTATACCCTTCATTATTTCAATTATGCACCATTGTAAGCTAAAAAAAACTTTATTTAGTTTTTCTGCTGTCAATTTTTCAAAAGATAACACCACTGAATTCACTAATTCATCCACGTTAGTGCAATCCTTTTCAATGTGAGTACTTTGTATAGCCCTAAACCATCCAAGGTCATTGATATTCAAATCTGGAGAGTTGGAGGTTTTTGCACTAAAATAATGTCAAATCCAACACTTGTGGCAGCTTTTCTGAAATCAGCATCATCATTTTTTATGTGTGGTCTAGCGTTATCTTACTAAATATAGATTATTTTTGTCATGTTGTCTAGTTATTTCTTCTTTGTGGCTAGGATAATCTGTCAAAACATTGAAAAATAAATAACAGACGCATTCGATCTTTCAAAGTTAGCGAATGCATATAATAAAATAGAATAAGTTGGATTGTGTTAGTTTGAATAAACACCAGTACAATCTAATGTTTTATAAATTCAAATAGTACTTTGTCAATTAAGCAATAGTAACATCCTGTGTAATTGATTGAATGGACTTGGTGATTAGGGTCCTGCTGCTGCTTCTTGTTGCAGCTTCCTCGTAAGTGTGAATAGGAAGATGCCAATTTTTCCATAAAAAAACAGCAAACCATTCGCTCCCTATAGTGGTCTTGAGACTGTGTACATGAACATAATCTTGGCAATAAATGTCTTGTTTTGACATGTTATGTGTGGATCTTCCTCTTCCGGAGTCATATAGAATATATATGACCCTTTAGTGATAAAACATGCATAATTTAAGTTTTTATTTAAAATTAAATATATGTTTTATACAAACTTTAAATTAACATAAAGATCTCACGCAATATATACAACAAAATGTTATATAATTTATTATATAAAATATATATTCTCTCGTCCATCTGTTTTTAAGATTTACAATGGACGAAAAGATTATATTTGTTGGTTGCTATCGCGGATAAAATATGATAAAGAAACTTTTATATGAACATTTTAGATGCAAATGGTCTAATAGGTGTCATTAAAAGTAATCTAGAACGTGTACATTTGGATTATGCTAAACTGAAGAAAATAATCAAAAGATTTTTAAAAAACGTTATGGTACAACAATTTTTTAAAAATAAACCCTAAAATGACCTATATGTGATATGAGCCCATGCCCAAACGGTTCAAACCGTCGGTTACGGTTACAAACCGTCGGTCACGGTTTATCAAAATTTCAAACCGAAATCGAACCTTCTGAATGGCGGTTTCGATTACGGTTTGACGATTTCGATTACGGTTTATAAACCGCCGGTTTCGGTTTAAAAATCGCCGATTACGGTTTGAACCACCAGTTTATATATACTCATTTTTAATAATTTTCTTTTTTATTTTCTATTTTTCTAAAAATTTAAATTTTATTTAAATATAATTAAGTTTCATTTTAATTTTATTTAGATATATTTATTATTTATGTATTATATAAAAATCATATATATAAATAAATAATTAAATTGTTACAATATAAAAATAATTAAAATAATAAATATAGTAAATAATTAAATTATAAAAATGTAATAGATAATAAAATAATTTAAATTATATAATAAAAAATTATAAAATATAAAATATAAATAAAAAGATATTAATAGTAATATTATTTTTTAATATTATTAATAATATTTATATTTATTTATATTATTATTAATATTATTATTGTTATATTTTAAATTTTAATTATAAATATAATGATATTATTAAAAAATATACACAATTTAACCATAATATCTTATCAATACTTAGTTATCCACATCCACACTCCACGGACGCCACAGCCGCCCCAAAAGCCGCAGCTGCGCCTGCGCCCGCCCGCACACAGAGGTTCTCCCTCTTTCTTTCTTTCCTTTCTCCTCATTTCCACACTTCTTTTTTTTTTTCTTTTTTTTTTTCTTCTGCTGCGCGCGTGCCTGCCCTGCCAAAAAAAAAAAAATCAAACCGATGAACGGTAAATCGGCGATTTTCACCGGCGGTTTGAGGTTTGAGAAAATCCCAAACTGAAACCGAACCGTCGAAACGACAGTTTCGATTCGGTTTGTGCCCGATTTCGATTTGAACCGTAACCCGCTGTTCGAAAATCGGAAAATATGCTGTTCGAACCGACGGTTCGAAACCGAATGAGCAAGTCCATGAGCCCAAACCCAAATCTGTTTATATCAACCTAGTCTTGATTGGGTTAAAGTCTGCTGGGCCGGGCCGGGCCGGCCACTGAACAATGAATTCGTCATGTAATTTATTTCATTTGCTCGGGCGGCGGCGCAAAAGGCTTTTGTACTGCTACTCTTCCATTTCTATGGATGATTACAGCTTTTTGGCCTGATTAACACTTTCGAATTCGGTATTGTCTTCGTAGAATTGTCCTCCTTAGAGGGCGAGATTGTCGTGGATACACTGATGTTTGTTTCAACTTCGTTGTCCATTGTTGAATTCTTCCAGGTTAGGGTATGCAGGTGAATGATAATTTTCAATTATCTCTTGCAAACAGGTAATTCTTTTCTACTGACAAAGGTTTGGGATTGTAAATCGAATGTTTCGATTACAAGGCGCTAAGGCTTGTACGCCCCTACATGGTATTAGTATGGCTCATTCTGCTGTGAAATCATTCGCAATATTCCGAAGCTGTAGCCATTGTAGTTTGACAAGGCGTAGCTCTACTTGCTCTTGGTGGTATCGATATCGTAGCCGCCTGAATTTGGAAAGTTTTCTCTCAATTCGAACTCCAAATAAGATTGGCCTTACAGCTAGCTCAACAATCGGGGTAAATGCATTGTTCGCCATGAATTACAATTACAGTATCAGTGCTTCTGAAAATGCTGGTGGAAGTGAGTATCTTACAATGTCAGATGAGAAGCTAATGAGCCAGTGTGAGATGGATACTTTTAAGTCATCAGGTCCAGGAGGACAGCACCGCAACAAGAGAGAATCTGCCGTTCGGCTTAAGCATCTTCCCACAGGCATTATAGCTCAGGTTCATGAAAATGGTCTATGCCTTTTTCATGTTGACTTTGCTCACATTGCATTCATGTGTTAATATGTTTTCCAATCAGACAGGCAGCCGAGGATAGATCACAACACAAAAACCGGGCAGCTGCGCTTATTAGATTGCGTACTCTATTAGCACTTAAAAGTATATCTTCAACCCTCTGCTGAGTATTTAAATTCATTCCGCTTGTGGTGGTTTTGTTCCACATTGTTATCTAAACAAATGTATGTTTTCCCAACATAGTTAGGAATGCCATTGATCTTGATGGGTACGTTCCTCCTCCAGAGCTAGTCCAGATTCTTCCAGCAAATTCCACGATGAGAGGATCATATAAAGGGCCTCAGATTGGACCCAATAACCCTAAATTTATTCTGGTCTGTCCTGCAGTCTTTTGTTGATTGAGTATGACTATGATTGATTCTTACACCTTGGCTGTATTCTCTGGGATCCTCAGGGAATGCAGGCTTTGCTTGACCTGATTTTTGCAGTTGAGGGCTCTGTTTCAGACGCTGCAAAGAAGCTAGGGTAAAATAATCTGAAGCTTCATACCAATTTCTGTTTCCTTTGCTTATGCCAAATTAGTACGATTTAGAGTCTCCGAGCCTGCTGGCAGTCTTCCTAACAAGAAATTTACAGGCTGAGCACTGGAGCTTTATCACGGTTGATATTATCTGATGATTCTCTCAGAGCTGCAGCGAATGAGTTCAGGGCCACCAAGGTATGTATTGCTCCTTTCTCCTTTTCTTCTTTTGCATATTGGTTCAGGCGTTCAGCAACATCATATCAGTCTCTTTCATCCCCCCGAACACAATGTGTGGTGTTAATGCCGTTTAGATGCAATCTATTATGAGCTCATTTGAAAAAAAAATTGTTCTTTTATCCACTTTCCTCTGCTGTATTAATGTATATATTTCCTCTGGTTACTAAGTTTCATTTTTCTTTTAGTAAATCTTTTATTTAAATTCTAAAGGATGCAATCATTTCTGGGGTTGAGTCTTATCATTGGGATATATATGTGATTGGTGGATTGAAAACCCTGCTGGGAAAAGAAACGTTTATATGACAATTTATGCAGATCGACTATTAATATGACCAAGAGCTCTTTCGTAAATATTGCATTGAGATGTCTTTATCTACTGATGGTAAAAATATTAGGTTGCATAATAAAACTTTTCTACATATTGATTTGGAACCTACTTTCTTGATAGCCAGCATTATAAGAGACAATATGTAATTTATCTTCTATTGTTGGAGTTTTGATGAATAGTGAAGGATAAGGTAATGTAAATGAGGTAACCCTCGATTAGATCTTGTTACAGTTATGATACATAAAAGTCAATTCTTCTTTTTTTACTGGTTAAGGTGATAGAACAATCTATATATAATTGTGTACTTACTTCTTTTAGTTGTTTCGACACCCCCTTTAACGAAGAAAAGTGCTGTAGATTAACTGGTTGGTATGTTAATTTGCTAGTTTGTTGTCTTAGTTTAAAAAGTTAACGATGGTTACCACTTTTCAATGAATTCTCATAGGGTCTGAAGCCGCTCAAGTAAGACTTTCATTATTGGAAGTATCGAAAGTTTTCAGGTACCGGCTAAGTTTGATTCCCTTGGTATATTGTTTCCATTTTCCAATTGTTAAGATGTTTAGTTGTGGGGAAAAAAAAAAATCTTTAGTGAAAGGACTGAGTGATTTTGTTGTATGTTTACAATGACAGAATATATAATAAATTCAAACTCCAAATTCAGCTTGTGAGATTTTCATTGATGGCTATTTTACATAAGAAATTTCTGAGAGTCTATTTAAAACAAAATTGCACCGCAACTTCGCAAACTCAGATACATTATAAGTGACATGCTTCTTTCAAGCTTTCCTATGTCTCAATATTTCATTTATTGTGTTCGATTAATGACTTATGTTGGTACGGCACTCAGCACTTTCGCGGCTCTTAATTGACGCAAAATTCTTTTGATTTGATCACTCGACTCAAACATTTCTTGATTAATTGGTTGATAATGTTATACTTCTCTTTAGTTCTTGGAATAACATTCATCTGGGAGCGATTGATGTTCGACACCCATACTTGTATTCTAAACATACTTTTATTTTAGGCAAAATTGTTCATAACTCACTTATGGTTTCGAAACTAAGCATAAATCTCATTTTTACTCTAAATTGCATTGTGCTTCTTTATACTTTCAAAATGTTATATGAAACCTGATATGGATGTCCGAACGTCAAGATTCACAATTCCAAAACCTCTTACCGGACGAGCTTCGAGAACCCAAGAGAAGCATGCCTTGACAAATTACAAGGTTCGACGATAAAGTTTGAAAGTTAGGGAGCAATTAAAGTCCATGTCGCAATAGCCGAAGATTTGTCGATGGATGCCGACGTTGGAGCTTGCAACGCCTCAATCGGACAAATAACGAAAAAAATTGTGCAAACTTAGGAGTATACCGAATTAGAGAGTTCAATATGTAATTTGCATAAACTTATGATTGCATATACATTAAGTGGAAGACCGTCAATATGGAACCTCACATGTCTCTCATATGCATGGGGACCATTAGGCTTGTTGTCACTCATTGGGAGATTATATTCATCCCACGTTGGAAAATATTTCTACTTTTTCCTTTCCTTACTCTTATAAATAGGTCCCTTAACAAGCTTTGTAAAACACTGAGCAAATTATATTTTAATAAATATTTGATCATTTATGATCATTTACTTTTATGAAAAGTTATGCTTATGACAAGAAATGCAATTCTTTGCATATTTCATGGGGTTTACTTCCAAAATTTAGGTTTGAGTATAAGCATTTGAGAAAGGTGGAAGAGTTCTCCAAAGTCTCGACTGATGTGGTGCTTTCATAGAGAATGGTTTAATGCTAGAAAGGTGTCGGGTCGCGCTTACCTTAGTACTTACTTAGATTTGCTTCTCTTTCGATTATTCTTTTCTCGCTTTATTCGTTCTGTTTAGTTATTTTGTTCTTTGTTCTTACTTAATTAGTTTCGTTTAGTAGTTTGTTATTTCTTCTTGCTTTATAAGTTAGTTCCGCTTCGTAGTTTATTCCGTGTCTTGTGTAATTGATCAATTTGGTCTATAACAAAACTCTCTGTGATTTCGAAACTTAACATAAATCCTCATTTTACTTTAAAAATTGCATGATGCTTACTTTAAAAAATATTGCATGAAATCCAGTCATGCAAAAAATATAGATAAAATATTCTTATCACACCAAGGATGTTTCATGATGGCGGGTATAAAGAGATTTTAAGGTGAATTTTGAAACAAATGGGAGCTAAAGGAGCAATTTTTTCTTTATTTTATCCCCAGGTTTGATGGTCTGTATAAAAAACTTTTAATCATTGCTTCAGTATCTACATGTGGTCTGTATAAAAAACTTTTGATCATTGCTTCAGTATCTACATGTGAATCCAGTGAAAATTCTTAGGAAGCATTGGCACTTTGGTTTCTAAACAAGAAATGGAGGATATCCAAAGTTTCTTGAAGTTTTTGCATGGCTGGAAAATTGTTTATGGCTTAAATTTAGGATGGTATATTACATAAATATTGTCTAAGTTACTGATCTGACGCAACAATACCGGACATTAATATATATATTTTTGTTCTAAAAAAACTATTACATCAAAATATTAATACTCCAATTTTAAATTAAAACCAAACTAACTATATTTTTGTGGGCTCATTTATTTAAATAATAATATTAAAAATCAATAAAATTACCATATAAAAAAAAATAAAAATTACAGGAATAAAAGGCACCAGATTTGAAATTCAAACATAATATGCAAAATTATATATATATATATGTATATGTATATTAGAGAATGAAAAGAATATAATAGAGTAAAAACTATTTTTGATTTCATTGTACTCCCTCGTGTGTAACATGGGTGTATTACTGTAGACACAGGAATTTAGGTAAAGTATAATTAGTAAATAATTAAGAAGTGTATTAATAAAAATAATTATTATTTAGTAAAAATAATTATAGATTATGATTAACATAAGTAAAAAGTTTAATTAAAATTAAGAAAATTATAAAATTTAAAATTTAAAATGCTATTAAAGTGCATAATTATATTTCCAAAAATAAAAAGGACAAGTTATATGAGACGGACGAAAATAGAAAACAGAGACAAATTATGTGGGATGAAGGGAGTATATTATAGTTATTAATTTTGGTTTTATTAAAAAAAATTTAAGCAATTTTGATCTAATTCAAACTAAAAGCTATTGATTTAAGGTAGATGACAAAGATTGAATACGATAGTATTGGCTTGCGCATAGTATTTTATTCAATACAATCACGTTCATGATTCTGTTCACAGCCGTGTTCTTAATATGCTCATGTTTTAGTCATTAATTATCATATTTTTAATAATTATTTGATATATATATATTATAGTGTTTATTTTTATATAATTTAACAAATTAAATTTATCTAATTATTTTTTGTATTTAAATTATAAATCAATTTTTTTATAAAAAATTTTATTATAAATTTTGAAAAATATATTTAATTATGATTATCAAAAATATATTATTAGTTATTTTTATAGTTTTTTCAATTATTTTTGAAATATTAAAATTTGATTATTTTTATATTTTAAATAATTGTAAAAAAACAATATTGTTATCGAATTATATATATAATAATTTGAAAAAAAAAATGAATATGATAACGAATATGACTTACAAACTAGTCATATTTAAAACAAATATGTTACAAACAAATAACATGGTCGTAAACATAGGTGTGACACGGTCATGTTTAAATTAGGGTAATGAATACGGTCATGTTGAATTCAATGTGGTTGAATTGACAGTTTGCATATAAGTCATCCAACAAGACTGTATTTAAGCCAATGCGATTGTGTTCAAACTATTATATCACTAAAATTGAAAAAAAACAAATAAAAAAAAGGATCAAAATTAATAATTGTAATAACAAAAATAATTTTGCTCGCCAAATAAATATGATATTGATACACTTAAATCAAGACATCATGTAAAACAAGAGATAAATTATATTTTATTCAATTAATGCTAACACCTTAGTATAAATAAATAAAAAAAGAACCATAGTAATATATATTAAGTGAGACATAAATTAATTTAATATAAATTATAGTAGTGTATTATTTATGTATATATAATATATTGTTTGTTTGTGATATAGATTTTGTTGGCAATTGCAAGTAGTTGATGGAGGAAAAAGCCTCCAGAAACAAGTGTCAGCATACTAGTTTAAAGCTTTTGAAAAATTTTATTGGATGGAGCAAAATAGTTTGCATCTAACTTGATCAGTATGACAATTAATTTCGCAGTCAAGATATTATCAATTCAAGCAAGGCAATTCATTACATTTGCATTAACATCCACAAGTAAAATATCATAACAGCTGAATCCATAAAATCATTGAAAATACCAAACATGGACATGGCTCCCTCATCCCATCCACTCGAAACTTCGATGCCCGATTACTTCAATTTATCCGAGAAGCAGCCATGGCTACACGGGACGGGACCGGACTTATATAGACACCACCGAATTAACTTTCATGTTCATCCGAGACACAATCAACCTAAAATTGTGAAACTGATTTTCCGCAAACAGGGTGCAGGTGCACAACCAACTAATTTGGGATTATGGTCAAGTGATGTCCTAACAGTTCAACATCTACACCAGGAAGTTTTTGGACAAGCAAAATCAAATTTGTTTTTCCAATTAAGGCAAGGTAATGTCTTTTCCTTACCATGGTCATGACTACACAGATATCCAATGGTTATACTCATCCATTCAAATGATGAAGGAGCTGGAACTTGGGGATCCCCCTCCGCTGTATGCCTGCAGGTTCGTACATACACACAGAAGATTGAGCCATTCTGCGAGACTAATTTTAAAATACCGATCAACATGCAGATTGTTTATTAGTTCCAGTGTTCACCTTAGCGACCTCAGATGTATCGGTACTGCAATCTGTAGTACTGAGGCACATTTTTAGATTATTACGCTAAATGTACGTTGTTGAGATATTTTTGATATTCAATTTTAAATTTAGTAGATTTAAATTTAGATTTGAGTCTATCGAGTCTGTATATTATAAACCTATTTCATCAGCTCCATTAGGCCTGTTTCATCAGTATTTGAATTCAGAATGACAAAAAAGAACTCTAGCCATAAGGTCAATGATCGGTACGAAAAAAGAGTCAACACACTGTTGTAGAAGCTAGACAATGCACATAGTTCTTTATATAAAAGAAAAAAACAGAGAAGAAACTTAACCAAAGTACCAGAACTTGGATAATGGAGATTACCATACCAATAAAAAAAATTCATACTAGATCGATATATAAACGTTGCCAAACCCTTTTCAAGCTTGCATAGATTAAACAATCACCTCAATCAATAGGAGGTACAAAAACTCTTGGTGCTAAAACAAAATAGAGTTACAAACAATTAACAGTTCATTTGGAGAGCAACAAAACACCACACTCGTATAGGAAGCATCTCTTATTTTACTTCAGCAAAAAAAATCATATTCTCAGTTGTCAAGATTGAATTGGAAAAAAAAAAAAAAAACGTATTTTAGAAACTTCAAAGTTCTGACAAAGTCAATCCTAAATATGCGATTAGATAAGACATCAGACAAATGGATTAAACAATAAAACATATTCCAAAGATGGTAAACAACCTTAGTCCATCCGCTGCACTCATTTGACTGAGTTCCTTGCCGATTTCATTTCTTAAATCTGAATGTCCATCAGCTCTGAACCCCTGAATAATAGTCAAAGGAAGTGCCATCAAATTGAAGGACAGCTATACATTTATTTCACGATGACATGGTGCCAAGATTAACATCAACCCCAGAATAGGGTTCAATAGATTAAAATTTTGATTAGACATCAACCAAGGCTCATGGAAGGTGTAGTAATAGGAAAAGATTAATTTACCAGACACTCCCCATAAAATCCTCTGCCCAACTTAACTCTGAAAACCTTATGCAGCAGTTCTTTTGTAGCAGTTTGTTGTCAAAAAAGAGAGTCATTTCCCATTGTGATCAAGTCTGTAGAGCAAATCTTCAACAGCTGTTCATATGGGCAAGTCAGACAAAATTAAATGCAGATACTATCAACTAGAGTACATAAGTGTAGATATCGTGAATAAAATGGTGACTGGAGTACTTCGACATGTAATAGGTGTTCCGCACAATTTATACATATGTGCATGTGAATTCTTCTTCTTATAAGCAAATGGCAAAGAAAAAAAAGAAAAAAAAAAACACATTACATCAGATTTTAACTAAAACCTAAAACTGCACCTGGTCATACATGAACGAATTAGTGATGCAGTACACGTTCGAGTGCCACTCTCTTTCCAATATTAAATGCTTTGGTATCAGGTAAACTCCACTTGCGAAGATCTCCATCTTCAATGTACTTGAGAATTGTCTCCACCCGCTCTCAGTCTTTGTGGTCGAGTAGGCTCATGCTATTATCCTAAGAAATATTTACCATTAAAATGTTTAGCATTGATGTAAGCACCATAGATTCAGACTTTGACTCTATCACAACTTACAAAGTTTAAGAACTTATGGTAAATTCTGAGCCCTTGGCATCAATCTCATTCAACAATTTACATTAAAAAAAAAAAAAAATGATAAAGCAAAACTGCTAGGTTGAGCAATCTGATATACATTTTCAAAATTGTTCTCTGTAGGTTTTGCAGAGAAGTAAATATCTGCAGCAGTGCAGCTACTCTTGTCAGTGTTCACGTTGAATGTAATGTTAGCATCACATCTCCCCTTGTGGAAATTCGAGAAAGTGTAGATTTTTGGTGATCAAATCCAATGATCCTAGATGCAACCATAGATAGCTTAGTAACAGCTAACTAAACTGAAAGAGGGCAACAAAAGTTTGACACCTATTTGATAATTGATAATGTTCAGAAAGGTTCACTTACTTGGATGACCTCTACGAAATCTAGAAAGTAACATGTCTCCAGTCCTTCGATGCATAAGTTCTCAACCCTAAGACAGGTTGGAGATGAAGAAAACAAAAAATTACTTCACATAGTAACTATTTGTGATGGTTGCAGTGCTTGAAGATATAACTCTTTTTGGATAGCATGAAACAAATACATATTTTCATTTACAGGGCTAACAAATTCTACGACTGCATTTCAGTAACTATAAATCATTCAAAGACGAAGAGAAGCATATAATTGCCTCCGCTATCTGCAATTCTTGTATCGAAGCAATTCAACTACCGGACATATTCAACATAACTTCTTCCCCTCAAAAGGCATACAGGGGTACTTTCTCTTCAATGCGCACAATTAAACTAATTAATTTACTAATTGTAGCCTACAGCTACAGGTACCATAGAGAGTGAATAGGAGGAAGAATAAGAGACAAAAATCAATGCATTTTGTAGATACCTGAGGGGTATGATGGAAGAGAAAGGCAATATGACGCAAGGGATGTTTAGCCGGGAGTGGTAGAGGTGGGCAAAGAGTGCTGCATAAGCTCCGGAGAATGAGGGGTAATAGTACAACACCAGGTTTGGCGTTTTGTTCTCCAATGCCTTGTGTAATGCTTCCAGAGCGGCTTCTGATTGGAAATTTCGGAGAACCGCTGGCAAGCGGCCACACAAAGGAGAGGCAGCTTGCCACGGATTGAACCAGATGGACAGAGCCATTTCATACAATCTGCCACCGGCGCAATGATTCACCTCTGCCCTCTGCACCCATTTGTTACCTGAAGAATATAAAATATAAAACTAAAACTTGCCTAAGCAATGAATGGGTAAAGCCAAAATCATCTTTAAACTTCAGCCAATTCATCGATCTTCTCAACATCGAGTGCCACACCATGGCCACGAATCAGTAACCACCATGTTCTTGCCCCGGGTGCAACACCCTTCCCAACCATTTCTTCGAGCAATTCAACTGCTTTCGAAGACAAAGCATTCCCCCACAGAAAGCCTATTACTTTATCCACAGTAGCTGGCAGAGGAACAATGTTCTCATCCAACATCCGATTAAACAAACTGCAAGCTCCATGTACATCCCTTTTACAAACAGAGCCATCAATCAGTATGTCGTACGTATACGAATTCAACTTCAAAGCTTTCTGCTTGATTTTATTCACCATCTCTTCCATTCTACTCAGATCTCCAGTGTCGCACAATGCCCTCAATATTGTATTGTAGGTATTCAAGTCCGGCGGGCACCCCAACTCCTCCATCGATATCTGCATTTCAATTCCTTCCTCTATCTTTTCTTGCATACACAAGCCATTAATGTAGACATTGTATGTATAGACATTAGGTACCAGTCCTAAAACAAGCAATTCATCGAATACTTTGTCTGCTCTCGGAAATTCCCTATTTTGAATCAGCCCATCAAGCAACAAACTGTAACACATTACATCCGGCTTGATGCCCTTCATCTTCATCTGTTTCAGCAATTTCAGAGCATCCAAACCCTTTCCTTTTCTCACCAAAAACCGAATGACGTTTCGAAAATCACATTTTCTTGGTTCAAATCCCAACCTTATTAACTCCTCCAAAACACGCATAATTTTGTCATCCTTACAGTCTGCATGCCTGCATATTGTTGCCAGCATCAAAGAACAAGATATGCGATCTACAGAAAACCCTTCCTCAACCATATGATTCAACAGGATAAGAGCATTACTGAATTTCCCTAGTTTGCAAAGGGCTCGAATCAAAATCGCATAACTAGAATCTTCGATCCTGATCTTCATCTCCCGACTCTTGATCAATACCTGAGGAACAATCTTGAGACCACTTAGATTCCCGCATAGAATTGAAAGCATCGAATTCAATGACAGCACAGACGGCTCACACCTATACCTTTGCATTCTAAAGAACAGACCCAAAGCATCATCCAGCATATCATTATCACCATACAACTTGATCAAATCAATGAATATACCTTCTGGCGTTTCAAAGCTCTCAATGTTTTCAATGTGATCGAGAATTTTCCGGATCTGTTCACTCCAATTTGGGGGCGGATTTTGAATCAACACCTTGAAAAGAAACCTATACGATTGGGGGGAGAGTTCGATTTCATAGGCAGCAAAAGAGTTAATTAGATTGGAAAGAAGATTGGTTCTGGATTTTCTTATAGATTGCTTGAAGGACCTTTTAGCTAGCTGAAAGGTAAGAGATTCGACCAAATGGTGTTGATATCCCCGAATCGGCCATTTTCTCCTCTTCCTAATGTAGTAGTTGTGCAGTGAGGCAGATTTTCTAGAGGAGGCCGAGGAAGATGAATATGAGGCTGTTGAATTAGGGAATGAGTTATTCATAGAGAGTAATGCAAACATTTTTTGTCGCCATGGGAGGTTTTCTGCTGCCATGATTTGCTTACTGCGAGTTATCATCATCACCCCCTTCGACATTTCGCTCCAAATCCAAATTAGCACTCAAGGTACTTCAGATTACACGCCTTAATTAATATTCAGAGCTGTAAAATAAGGAAAATCCCCCTTTCACAGACAACCCTAGCATAGTTCATTTTGTGCAGCCAGTGTCTTCGCCATTCCCTTTCTGTATTCCTACTGAGGCTCCATATTTGTATCCTATTAACAAATCGGGCAATAGTCAAGCCATCACCTCAAAAAAATATGAAAAAGTGAAAAACATGGAGAGAAATGAAGAAATTTCGCACTATAAACTGATCTTCCAAAAAACAATTATGATAAAACAACTCTCAAATTATGCAGACACGTATTTTTGCTAATTTGTGTGTTACCAACCTACCTAAATACCTATAACTAGGTCTGTATGGTTCCAATCATCCCAAATTATTTTTTTGCTATTACTTTTTGCAACCGGAAAATAGAGACCAATGTTTTGACCGGTGAAGTGAGACGAAGGCTACCATCGGAGAAGCATATGGGCTGAAAATAAATAAATAATGAGAAAATGGAAAAAAAAAAATGTTAGAACAAACTCCTATTTCCTACCAGTGGCGTAAACAAGTGAGAATAAAGAGAAGACGTAAGAATGGGAAGAAAGAAAACGAAACTTACTGGAGTTTCGACCGAACATGGCGGCGGAGAAAGCCCGCGGCGAAAGGTAGAAGAAGGTAGAAGAAAGGAGAATGGAAAGAAGAAAGTAAAAAAAAAAAGAAAAAAGAAAGAAGAAGAAAAAAACGAAAAAAAAAAAAAAAAAAAAAAGAGGAACAAATTCAAAGAAAATTAAAATAATCAATTTTGCCAATATTATTAAAAAAAACATCATCAATTTTTATTGTATTATAAAAAATCATTAATTTTGGTTTTATTGTATAAAATAACTTTGGGCTTTGGGCATTTGATGAATTTTTTTTTATAAGGCAGATCAAAATTGATTATTTTTATTTTTATTGAAATTATTTTTTTGGCCTGATACGATTTTTTTTGCACCACGTTTAAATCAAATTTTCGGGTGGGATTAATATTTGTTAACTCTATATAAAATATTTTTCACTATTCATATTATATGTTGTCTCTACCTAAAATATTATATTGATATATATCTCTATTTTCTTTATGTTTATTGTTTGTGTAATTTTAAAAAAATAATACATTCTATTGTGGGAATGAGTTAGAAAACAAGAAAAAATTGTAAAATATTATATCTATCTATATATATATATATATTTAATTATTTTTATCAATTATTTATATTTCTCGCATAATGGGGTGTTTGGGATTAGGAAATAGTCTTTTTTTAAGAATTTTAGCTTATCAAACAATTCATTGTTTGGCAATAAAAAAAAAAAAAAAACTAATTTATAAAAAGCTAATCTATTATGTGGTTTTGGAAGAGTTTTTCATTTTAATTTTATTTATTTCTTATTTATTTTTAAAAAATATTTATTTATTTAGTACATTTAAATATAATTTTATTGCAATATTTTTAAATTATTTTTAATATATTTAATTTATTAAATTATGATTTTATTTTTGTAAATCTAAAATAATTACTATTATTAATTATCATATAAAAATTATTTTATTTATAAAATATATAAATCTATTAAAATTAAATCAAATAAAAAACAACTCTTATTAATTTATTTATATATTTTTATTACATAAAATTTACATTAAAAATTAATAAAAAATAATTCATATAATAAATATATATATATAAATTTTATTTGTTTATATTTTATACAATTTCAATAAAAATTATTATTGTTTTTTAATAAAAAGATGTTTTTCTCAAATATTTTATAATATTTTTATAATTTTTAATAATTAATAACAAAAATTCTCATAAATTTTAAATTAAAATGAACAAAATTAATATTTTAAAAAATCAGGCACATGTGCAAAATAGTTAAAAACTTATTTATTCTAATTATATTAATAATATATTTAAATTATATGAATTAGTATATAAACTTAATAAAGCATTCAACACTTTTGCTGAATTATTGTTTTCCGCATATGATCCATGGACTTAAAAAGTAACATATCAATGTCAAACAATTATTTTACCAAACAATTGTTTGGATATTTGAATGGTAAAAAAGTTAAAATTGAATAGTTGTTGATGTGATATAAATAGAAAGTGATGTGATATTTTGAATATAAAATAAAGTTGTAATATAATACTTCCTCCGTCCCCCGCCACATATGACTCTTTTTTATTTTTTGGACGTCCTACGAAAGATAATTTTTTCCATTTTTGGTAAATTTATTAATTTTAAAATATTTAACAATTATTAATCAATTTAATTAAACATCTAACATCTTACGTATAGAAGTTCTTAATTAACAAATATTTTTTATCTATCTTTAAAACTCATTATTTTTATTCATTTGTATTATATAAAATTTTATTATTTACAAAATGATATTCATATTGCATATATTTTATTGAGATATAATTCTAAAAATATTTAACATACTAACAATACTATTCATATAAAAAAATAATAAAATATTATCATAACTTATTACTAATAACTTATTAATCTATTCTATATAAAATAGTGACATTTTTGAAAAAATAAAATAAAATTGAATAGTAAAAATATATAATAAAATCCACAAAAGAAAATAGCTTTTGTTTCTTATACTAAATTTATTTACTATTAGCTAATTGTTCCAATATAATTATTTATTAGTAGTTTATCCGTTTCGTTTAAAATAAGTTATATTATACTATATTGTTTTTGTTGTGGAATTTTTAATATTAAAAATAATTATAGTTATAAAGTATGAATATACTGTTAAGTCGAATCTACATTAAATATGATTGATATGTAATTTGTGTTATGCGCAAGGGATTACATAATATTTAATTTGATTTTACATTTTAACCAGTAATTTTTTCTTTTTTAACAATAATACCGTTGATGCAGACTTTTCAACAATAAAAAATAAAATTCGAAAAAAAAAATTACTTTCGAATTTGATTAAATAAATGCCTGAAATTGAGAATCTCTAGACACCATAGGATACATAAGAAAATTGAAAAGAAATACTAAAGACAGTAAAAGTAAAAGGATTCACTGAATTTGATATCGATTGAATGAAGATGTCTTTTTTGGATTGTGGAAAGGCCTATTTAAAACCCATGTTAACCACCCTAATGTTGTTATCAGGTCGTGCCTCCATATCCGCTCACAGGTTGTAACTTCTTCCAACTGCTCCAAAATTGCTATTCAACCGACCTAAACACCCATTGTCCCGTCTTTCTTTGCCCGACTTCCATTTGTCCGACCTCCGTATCGACTGGCCTAAACACCACCGCCTTATCTTCTTTCGTCCGATTTCCTTTTGTCCGACCTCTACACCAACCGACCTAAACACCTACTATTATCTTTCCCTTTGTCCGACCTTACTTTGTCCGACCTCCGTGTCAACCGATCACCTAGTCGAAGGTCCTCTCGAAGAAGCCTATTCTTAAAAACGCTTTAATCGTTGGGCCTACACCAAACCCATTATTGACAGGCCCATCGAATCATACATCAAATTATGGTCCAATTTATAATTCAATTCTCAAAAACCCTACACATTGGTTTTCCTCGCTCAACAAATACATATTATATATATTTTCAGTTCGAAGGTTTACGAGGGAAGGAGAAGGAGGAGAGGCAATTCTAAAATAAATTTATTTTTAATTCAATTTTTTTTAGAGTGAAGGGTAAAAAGGGGAGACAATCTTTTTAAATTTTTTTTCTCTCCAATTTGGAGGATTTGAAAGGGAGAGATATTAGTAATTTTTTTTTTTATCTAATTATCTATTATATCTTTTAAATATTTTATTAAAAATTTGGTAACATCTTCAAATTTTTAGTATTTATTTATTTTATATTTAATTATATCAAATAGATATTAACATATATATTGTACATAGATTTAAATTATATTATATATTTTGAAATATTTTTAATTAAAGATTTTAATCAAGTTTAATTATAATATTTTTTAACAAATCATATAAATTAGTATATAATTATATCAATAATAATAATAATAATAATACTATTTTAATAAATAATTATAAAATAATTTAGTTTTGAATGAATAATATTATTTTTTTAAAAGTAAACAATTTATTATCTTTCAAAAATAATTCAATACAAGTATAATATCCACTTAACGGTCTCAATTTAAATCCCAATATAATCTTGCACTAAAGACATAAGCAAAATACTTTAAGAATTTTATTTTATCATATTTGGACAAATATATTTCGCAGACAAAAATTTATTTACCAAGTCAAAGTTTCTAAAAGTTTACAGAATGGATCCTAAAGCAATTTTAATCTGGGACCATTTATCTTCTGTTCTGGAGAGTCGTCTGTTATTGGCAGCCGACTGGTACTGTCTTATAAGTTGGGATCGGACGTGAATCTTTAACTCCTGGTCCAGGTCGGCTGCATTGTTCTTGTACCGATCAATCAGACGTTGCTCATCGCTTTTGTGGCCTTCCAGAACAGACTTTTCTTGATGAAGTACTCTCAATTCTGCCTCCTTTTGTTGGATTGATTCTTCTATTTGTGCTTTGGCGTGGGAGAGACCTTCTAATCTTTCAGTCGCCTGTTGAATGGATTCCTTAGTTTTGATCAAGGAAGCCTCCAGCTTTATTCGGTCCAAGTCGGGTAAGGGCGTCTCAGTTGTCAGAAGTTGAGCGAACAAGATTTCGTTTTGAAGTTCAGACAGTCGCTCCATCAGTTGGTGAAGAGTGGGGGCGGCAGGCGATTCTGAAGAAGCTTGAAATAAGAGACCACCAATGGCTTGAAGCAGGCTGTCAAGTAAGTCTGTTCTCAGGTCGGGGAAAGGTTGACTAACAGCCTGCGCAATTGTAGTTCGGGCGTCTGTCGGAATTGGAATAGCTGACAAGAGGGCTAGATCAGGACATCCCTGGAAAAAATGGATGTTTATTTAAGATTACATGAAGCACAAATGTTGAGAATTGGTTGTGAAAATTTTACTTACTTTTGGAAGGATCGTGGTCGCAGAAGGCGCTAGGAGCGTTAAGGCCGACTCTTCGGCTACTTCAAATGGGTGCTGCGGGATGGATCTGGGCCCCTTAGTGATGGAGATATAGTATGTTTAGTATCATATAGACAACAATTCACAATTTATAAAAGGAGTTTCAAGTGTCTACCAGGTTAACAGAGGTCTCCGAATTAGAGGAGGGGATTTCTTGTAATTCCTATAAGAGACCCCTTGGTGGCATAGGTGCAGGTTCTTCCTGCCTGTCTGCTTCTGGAGAAGGGTCTGCTGCCCTCAAGTCGGCAGCTCTCAGGTCTGCTGCATCCAGGTCGGCTGCCCCCAGGTCGGCTGCTCGTTGGTCGGGTACATCTTGGACGGCTGCAGCCGGTTCGTCGGGAGCGATTTGGACGGCCGCATCAAAGACATTTCTGTCTTCTGAAGCGGCCACATTGGAAGTGACTGCAGCAGAGGCAGATGCAGGCGTGGCCATTGATGCCATATTGGGCAGAGATGGGTCTGAAGCAACATAAGGCAACCTACCATCTCCGATGCAGTCGCCTCACTGTGGGATGAGTTTCCTGTTATTGCCAGTTCGGCTGGTAAGGGCGCTATCATAGAGGCATGTCGTTTGGTCAGGGGTTCAAGTTCGTAAATTTGGTCGGTTGGTGGCTCTGTTGATG